CTACATGGTCAGTCCTTTTTTTCTGCTCTGTTGTCAACATGAACAGTAATGGGAAATTCAAACTCTTGACCATTTTGCGTTAGCCATTAGCTTCACCTGTCGATCACACGGTCACATGTTTGTGCACTCTAGCTGTTCTATAGGACGTCCTTGGTGTTACCTTTTTTTTGTTACAACACCTGGGGCCTTTCTGGGTAAAGTTTGCCTGTTCTCCCTCTTCATGTATGGGGTACTCTGGTTTCCTAACACAGACCAAAGYCCTGCATGTTAGGTTCATTGGTAACTCTAAATTGGACTTGCGACCTGTCCAGGGTGTACCACCGCCACAGTGACAGCTGGAGATAGGCCTCACCTCCCTGCAATCCTTATCTCCAGCTCTAATGAGATATATGGATGAATATATAGGACACAAATCCWAATAAATCATTGTGCATGCTTCAGTTATTTTACTAATAACACCATAAGGACATAGTTTGTCTTTTTTTTTTGTTATCTCGTGAAGTTGTCTATTGATATGAGCACAAGTGTCTAGTTTAGGTGTGTATCAAGCAGTGTGTGTGTGGAATGACTATCACAAGATCATCCCAGGTATCCGATTGCCTTCTGTGTCATCATCAGCTACATTTCAACAAAGTGGGTTTTGGCCGTTGGCGTCTCACGTAGCAGAACTTGTGGATGGAAGGAGAGAATCAGAGAAATAAAAGAGAATGAYGGAAAGAAAAGACTGGTTGAAAAGGTGAATTAGGGGTACGTCTGTGTGTATTGTGTGTGGTGCGTCTGGTTCTTGGATTAGACGCCAGGTCAAGTCTGTAAACTCCACACACGCACAGGTTTGTTTTTAGATCCTCGTCAGGACCATGGATTGACTTCCATTCATTTTTTTGGTAATTTTATAGCCTAACCCTGACCATTTACCCTAAAATTAACCTCACAGGTACCTACAGTACCTGACCCTAAAACTAACCTAAACTCAATTCACACCTTGGTCCTAAACCTAACGGCCCGACCTTGGTCCTAAACCTAATGCCCCGACCTGAAATTAGCATCTGTACCTGTGGGGACGGGGCATTGGTCCCCACAAGGCTGCCTTTTTCTGGAAAACGGTTCCCACARTGTAGCAAAAACATGCCCACACACACATATGCAGACAGTTACAGCCCCCAAACACACACACATGGATGTTTGAAGTTGAGGTAACTCTACACCTGTAGGCGTGTAGGTGTTCATGAAAGGATTAGCCAGTCTTAGGAAGTCAGTCAAGAGGGCAGTTGGTGTGTGTGTGTGTGTGTGTGTGTGTGTGTGTGTGTGTGTGTGTGTGNGTGTGTGTGTGTGTGTGTGTGTGTGTGTGTGTGTGTGTGTGTGTGTGTGTGTGTGTGTGTTCTGGAGAACTGCTGGGGTTTTTGAAGTCCTACCTGGAGGCAGATCAAGGAAAACACTTCAATAAGACTGTGGAAGTGTTTAGTTTAAAACATTACGCACTAGTACAGATAAATAAAGGTTTATATCATTATTTAATACATTACCAAAGCTTTTTTTTTCTCAAGTTGTAGTTCATTAACACAACTCAAAAGTTTTTGGTTTAAGGCATCTATCATCAAGCATTGTACACCCAACTTTTGAGTGAAAAGGTGTAATGTTGGCAGGCTGTTAGTACAAAGAATCTTCACTAAAAACAGCTTTATTTTGTTTTTTATCATTGCCATAGCTTGTTTGTTTTACACTAGTTTCAGTAAAAATATCTGTAAAACTTGGAARCTAATTTGCTTTAGTTACAAACCTTAAACATTAACATTAACATCTGATGTATATGTTTGTTTTGTTTCTTTTTATCCAGGTATTGGACAACTATGAGCGGGAAGGCTTCAGATTTCTGTCCAAGGTTTTCAATTCCTCCCACTCCTTTCTGGAGGACCTGACAGGGCTGACACTGTTGCACCAGGAGACACAGGCTGCAGAGGTAAATTACACCCCCACATATACCAACATAAACCATCTGAGACATTCTTAGAACAACTTAGCTTGGCGTCGTTACTACAGTATTTTGGGTTGTTTGTGGTGCTTCCAAGTGAATGAAGACGTGTCTAGAATGCTGCTGATTTTATGAGGATGTTTTTTGGAAACGGCAAGTACAAAGATCAAATTTGGAAAAATTGTTTCCATGTAGACAAAGCTCAAGTGTTACTGAGCATAGTGAGTATTCACAATTCAAGATTTTTCATTTGTCACAGTTCAGTTTAAGTCAGTCTGTTTAAACAATGCCAATTCACAACACGTTTTGTTTCAGGGCATTGTACAAAAACATTCTAATACATTATAAAAGGCCTTTTAATAAAAGTTTCATATCTAAGGAAGCCAACAGATTGCATTGGATCCCCCACATGTTACATGTACAGCACACAGTGAAMTCTATGGCTTAAAAGTTAATGTGCATTGTGTACTTTATATAATTCAGTTTAAATACTTACATTTGTGAGTTTCATTGCCAGTGCACTTCTTATCTCTATAGTTCAAGTGTGCCCCTMAAAAATACTAATCTGAAGAGACAGAAATCCTTATTCTTTTTGCCCTTCTCCTAAATCACAAAAGACACCCAGAGTTGGACACCCATTTGGATGATAACTGTGCTTTTTAATTAGAATAGAATAGAATAGAATAGAATAGAATAGAATAGAATAGAATAGAATAGAATAGAATAGAATAGAATAGAATAGAATAGAATAGAATAGAATATTGTTTATTGAGCTCCTGAGGGTAATGAGTTGGTACATTTGGCATTACCTTGTATACAACAGGAATAAGACAATTTAATGGAAGCCTAAATCTATTTTTTCTTATAAACAAGGTGCTAACAAATCTTCAAAATCTAGTTTTCGGTTTCCAAAAAGCTTAGTTTATTTGTCAATAAAAAGTTAATATAGAAAAAAACATGTATTTATTTATTAACTTTATGTGCAACAAGGTCTAAAAGAGGTATTTGGCAATCAGAAAGTAGTTTAGTTAAAGTGAAATGGTTGCAGTGGCTGCAAATGATTGATCGAGGTGGTTTGGGCATCTAATTTGTATGCTTCCTCAGCCAAGAATATGCTAGAAAATRTTCTGCAGCATGGTTAGGTAAACAACATTACTTAAGGCTTTCCTTGCTTAGCTTGTTGCAGCCATGTCTGAAACCYAAATAAATGCACAGAACATGTTTAGCCAACTAGACCTTCATGGTCCTCTGAGTATGAAGTTTTATGATCCTGGGAAATGCTTTCAACCCATTTCAAAACACATTTCTCCTCTGGGAGTTAATTTTTCTGTGGGTTTTTCTCAAACTAAAGTTTATTAGAGAGTAATTTAGCCTTTTTTTTAAAGCAGTGGTATAATAATCATGTAATTTACTGATTGTTGTATTGGATCACGTGGTTTGTGTCTGTGGAAAAACAGGAGGAKAAAGTTTTGGTGAACTTCCAGAATATTCTGTGCTGGAATATRGGTGGTTTTCCTCAAGACTCCCCTCTGACAGGAGACGGGGGGGAGTCGAGAGAGAAACAGACCAAGGGAGAAACAGAAAATGAGCAAGTGTGGGTGGTTGGGTCTGGTCCTGCCCAGCTGTGGGAAAATCCCATTTACTTTCTCCACAACTTCTATTTATTTAACAAATACACAGTAGAGAAACCCAAAGAACAAAATAAAAGGTTATAGATCAGAGATTTTACATCAGAACAGAAACAAGCAAGAAAGTTACATAAGAAATTACAATTGGGAACACCTATATTTTTACTATCAATATCCACTTTAGTCCTTATCAACTTTTTATCTCTTTGTTTCCTTCCTTCTCTACCCACCCCCCATCTCACTGACAAAGTGTGTTGAAGAGGCTGGCGTCAGTCGTGTTCTCTTCAATCAGAACACAGAGAGATTGTTTTGATTRCTCAGCCCACTAGCGCCAGAAGTCTTAGCGCCTGTTTCCTCTATGCAAATTACTTATTCTAAAACCTACTGCACTTAGAGAACATCCTCCAAAGTTTTNCTCTTGCTCAATTCCAGGAAGGGACAGTAGTTCTTTCTCAAACATGACATGAACGCATAATATTTGTAATTTCATCTGGAAACCCACAAAAAAATAAAATTTAAAAAAAAAAAAACTTTGGGCTCTTACTTGTTCTTGTCCCAAGGTTTCAGAAGTGTTTGTCTATTATACTATTAATTTTTAATGTTAACATAACATTTAAATTGTCTTTATGATTTTCCATTTCAAGTTTGTGTTCTATTTTGCCAAAGTATAGAGATACAAATCTATACAGGATATGTTTTGTTACGGAAGTTACCTACATTTTTAAAATAAACCCTCAGCGTTCACTTTTCCTTATCTTTTTTGCTACACACACATTATAAAAACCCCATGTTGACATTGATGGAGAATTAAAGTGTATATAATTAACCATTTGGACAAGCTTTTTTGAATATATTTTTTATGGTAAAGCAGGATTTATGACAGTCAAAGTGTGTCTGTGTGTGTTTTTGCTCATTCAAATGTGTATAACCTGTCTAAGCTATAATCTACGTCATCAAATGTCACTACTATGTACTTAGGGCCTATTTTTGGTGAGTTTGTAACAGGAGAAGTGCTTTTTATGCGGTCATCCTGGGGTTTTGGGGCTGTTCAAGTTCGGTAAAAAATTTTGACTGACTGAAAGTGGTGTGTGTGTCTTTGAGTGTGTCTTTTGAGTGTGCATGTTTGTAAGTCACACACAAACCCAAATGAATTGCTTCTTTGTGTAAGCAGCCTCGCTAAGATTTCAAAATGTGGTGTGAGCACGGCGGGGTGGAAAATCTACAATGAATCTGGCATCTGGCAAATTAGTTGCATGTATTTCAAACATTTGTATGCAACACGCTGCTTCCTAACCCCGCGTGAGACCACATGTTTTTTAGCAACAACGGTCTAACATCTCATTTTTTTTAATATTTGTGACTCTCTAATCACTRTTAATGGGGTAAATGAATATAAAAACACATTTGAAATACACAAATACAAKTTATGTCTTTACATGACATATTTCTATCCTAATGCTTGTCTGTTAATGAATGCTTTAAAGAGATGATGCCAGTTTCTGTCATCCAAGCAAAGTAAAAGTTAAATGAAAGTAGCAWTCCTTCAAAACTTGAAAAAAAATCCTGCGCTAAGAGACTGAGACATTAAAAGTATGTGTTGGAGACCAGTCTCAGATACTACTACACCATACTTTAGCTTAATATCTGTGAAATGGACTGAGCTTGTTGCCTAAATTAGAATTCTCTTACATAAAACGAGAATATAATCAAGAAGTAACTTACAGTTTCCTGTTGGGATGTCTTTGTGTAACTCTTCACCTACACATAAAGAAAAGATTACTGGAATTCTACCACTTTGGAGGCTCTGGAGACATTTCTTTTACATTGCACAACCCCTAGATGATGACACTGCGTAGGAAGAATTTGAAAGGAGATGAATGTATTATATGAAAAAAGTTAACTCTGATGCAATAGGCCCACCAGGAACAAAGCTCTCTGACATTTTCCCAGTATTTTTTAGCACAATATATTCTATAGAAAAGATAAAATTGGCAAACTTGAAGTATGTGGACTCTAGTTTTTAATTTTCAATGTTAGATTTTTTTTAACTTAGTGTCACCAGAAAAAAAGGTGATTATGTAGAAATCATTCACTCACACATTGTAGCAGCTTTTCAATCATAAAGTTACAATGCCTTAAAGGTGACATATTGTGCAAAATCCACTAGCAGTTAACAGCATTTTGTTGGAGTCTGTAGGGATGCAAAAAGATTTACAAAATATCTAAAAAAAAAATTTGCAAAATATCTACGCAGCACTCTCCCAGTGCTGCGTAGATATTGTTATATTCTTTTTGGGTCATATTTTTCAACCTGTTCAGTTTTTCTACATTTTCTATGACACTTTCTGAACTATTAAGACTTTTTTTT